ATACGACTGGCCACGAAGGTGTGAAATTCTAGTCCATGACACAGAACCAAAAAATGTTTCCTATACATATATGTAGGAAATAAAGGCCCTTCTCTTCAGTTCCTGAAAGAGGGCTTTTGGCAAAGATGCCAATGAAATGGAAGATTTTTTTTTTTTCTCCTAGAAAAAAGGCATGTCATTATAAATGCTCCTTTCTGGTGTGTGTCTTTTCCCTTCTCATTTCCAAAGATTTTGAATATAGCTTGTGAGCAAGTAGCAGCTATGATTTTGTACAATATGTGTAAATTTAAAGGTTTCTTTTTACTTCAGAGTTGTGTACATGGCCCTTATGGAGGCTCGTTTCAAAATCAGTTGAATTGTGATGCTAGCAGGTGGAACGTAAAAGCGAAATGGTTTCCTGACCTTTTTTTCGCCTAAATAACAAAGTCTGATGTATTGATCAGTAGTACAGGACTAAATGGCTCCTCTTGGAGCCCACGCCCTGGCTCTGCACAAATCCATGAATGCTTCAGGCAACCCCACGGCCTTTGCCTCTCCAGTTACAGCATGGATGCAGCCACAGCTGCCAACGAGTGAGGCTGTGGAGCCGTTTCACTGACACCACTTTGTAAAGGAAGTGGAGGGCTTGTTTTACAAGGCATTTCTGCACAGTCAGCTTTATTTAAGAAGCCTCCAAAGGGTGTGAAGAATAAGTTAACTGTGGGCTTGCAGAAGGGTTTTGCCATGCCTCTCCTTCCAGCTTGGTGCTTGATTTCTTGAACGCTGTTTTCCAGTCCTTCGCAGCACTCTTGAACTGAAGCCTTTGCATGTGACAGGGTGGGCACATTTCTCCTTTGCCGTGCAGATCTCACGATGGAAAACCTCACTCAGAAATTATGTTTTCTCTCATCCTGCTCTTGTCAGGCTCCTCCCATTTAGGAGAAGGAGTGCCATCAGCAGTGAGCTCACCCAGCCACTTGCATGCAAAACAATTCCTTCGGTGAAATGCAATCTGGAGGAGCGATTCTGACAATGCAGGTTTTGAAGCTGATGTCTTAGGCATTTTAAGAACCATTTTCCTAAAGGCAAGGGAAAAATGAGACTGAGGGTGCTGGAAGCAGTGCTGTGCAGTTACAGGATGTGAATGAGTATGAAAAGTACAGAGGGCATGCCAGTTTCTAGGGCTGCAAAGGCAGAAAAGCCAAATCCTGCATGAATGTTATTAAGATAAATACTGTTTATTATTTTGTTGTTGTTGGTTTTTTTTTTAAATATCTCCCTACTGGGTGATTCTCAAAAAAAAAAAAGAGAGAGATTAAGGCAGTTTAGTTAATGAGGTTAAGCTTGATTAATAAGGGATTCAGAGTATTCGTTTGTGCACACCAGTTACCATGACTTCCTTTTTTCTTGTGCTATTAAATGCTCCTACTGCCTCTAGTATTGTATCAGGAAACACTTGTTTTTCTTTTTTTTTTTTTCCCCAACCTTTTGTTATGTCACAGATTTAAGGTCTTCAGTCATTATGCTGTGGCTCTGTCTTGAATTCCATGAAATGTTTCCTATCAGACTAGGAGACCATATGCCCATGTTGGCCTGAAATTCTCAGTGCATCATGTACCAGAAATAGAAGCTGGTAAAGATTCTTCAGAGATTGTGTTCACTTGTTCCAAAGACCTGGTTTGTTTATGGAAGGGATGCTTGCAGTACATAAACACTATTTAAGGGGAAATATCTCCAAAATGTAGAACAGTTCTCTTCTCCTCGTGTCAATGGTATTTTTAAGGTAAGCTGTGCAACACCCTATATTGAGTCTCATTTACATGTAGCCATTAGGATGTTGATAGAAAAGAGCAAGCAGAGAATAATTTTTTTAAAACCTAAATTAGATACTTTACTCAGTTCCTCATAAATATTCTGAAATTATTTACAGTGGAATTTAAAAGTAGGTTTCTCCATTTTTAGTAGCTGTACAGTTTTGCAGACTGCAATCTGCAACATTCAGTCTGGATGTTGGTCTATTTTAATTAATACTTTTATAGCCATGCATAAAAACTAAGACTAAAATGGATAGAATTTAATAGAACAAAAACAAGTTACAAACAATCTAGAGGGTCTCATTGAAGAAAGATTCACAGAATCCTTGAGTCTGGAGGGCAGCTCAGGGAGATCATTTGGTCCATCTCCACTGCTCAGAGCGAGGTCATCCAGGGTGCTCAGGGCTGTGTCCTGTCAGGTTTTGAATTTCTTCTAGGACGCACAGTCCACAGCCCCTCAGGGCAACCTGTTCCTGTCTTCAATCACTCTCACAGTTAAAAAAAAAAAATTCCTTTATGTTCACATGGCATTTCTTGTATTTCGATTTGTGTCTTTGCCTCTTGTCCTCTTACTGGGCACCACTGAGAAAAGCCTGGCTCCAACTTCTTTACTTCCCCTGTCAGGTCCATACTGATAAGATCCCACTGATCCTTCTCTTCTCCAGGCTATACATTTCTAGCCTCTCCTTATACGACAGATGTCCAAGTCCCTCAGTCATCTCTGTGGCCCTTCACTGGACTGTTTCCAGTACATCCATCTTTTTCTTTTGCTGGGGAGCCCAGCACTGGTCTCCAGATGTGGCCTCGGAAGGGCTGAGCAGAAGGAAGGATCACCTCCCGCAACCTGCTGGCAATACTTTGTCTAATGCAGCCCAGGAAACTTCTGTGGTACTTCTAGATTAATTAGCTTTAAAAACTATTTTTTAATTATTTTTTTTAATTTTTTTTTCAGGAGATACCTTCCTAGGTGGGTGTTGCGTTTGATCACAGCTCTAGTCTACTCTTACTTCCTAAAACGATCAAAAAAGAAGCCATCAAATGTTTTTGCTGGAAGTGGGATCACAGGACAAAATAAGATGATTATGTTGGAACCAACCACTTAGATACAGACTCTGCCTTATTGTGTTGTTATCTGGAAGTGTTTGGAATGGATTGGATTTGATGAAACTGTCCATTATAAAAAGGCCACTACTTTTCAATATTTACCACACCGTGGTATCTGGGATACCACAGTTTCTCCTTAAGCTCACAATAGGAAATAACTATGGTAATTGTGTGGTATGGGTTGGCAAATGTTGATTTTTCTGAATGGAAGTCATTCTAGCAACAGCACGTAACAAGATCAGCAATAAGACTGCAGTCCTGAGTGTATTGTAAATAATAGGTGGACATAGCTCACTTTGGATCCCACCCTAGTAACAGCTTTCTCAAGAGACTCAAATTATAGTTACTTCAGTTCCTGAACATGTATATGAGCTATACGGCCCATATGAAACATTTTCTTGTTATATTTTTTCTTTAATTAAAATTAATGGTCCTAAGGGGAATTTTTAAAGTACAAGTAACAGGTAAATTTTACCTCACTGCTTTTCACCAAGAAGTAGACAACTAATTGACATTTCCTCTCTGAGTCTTGAAGACTTCTGTGAAAACTTAAGATCCTCATTTGGTAACTGAATCAGAAATTTTTCTTCCAGTGTAGTTTCCAGATTTGGGGCGCAAATTTGGGAGGATGTAGATCAAAAGTCAGTGGGACTGAGGCTTCTAAGACACTTAATGGCTTTTGAAATTTTTACCCATGAGGAGCCTTTCCCCTGCTGATTTTGGCAGCCTTCAGCCAAAATCTACAAATGAGAGTTCCTCCTCTCAGCTGCTGGCTTTCTGAGCCATTTTCTATATAAATAGAGATCACGTGGACTTTAATAAGGTCAGGGAATGTTTTTTAAATGTCTGTGATTTTTTTTTCCCCTCAAAACTTAATTTTGCCCTTCTGATTTCGGTGGAAGTGGGAACAGATGCCAGAAGCTGAGAACTCCAGCAGCTTTCTGCTCACGCTTGCAGCGGAGCACTTGCGGGATTGGGACCCTCAATTACTATCACATGTAGAGTTACACATTGGCTCTTAACTGAGATCTGCAAATGCACTCTGGTTCTTCTACCAGGTCAAAGTGAGGGGTGTTTAAGGAAATATGGATAATAATAATCTTTGCTCCATTATTGTCCGTTCATTTGATGAGTGACATTACTTCATGAAAAAGGGGATACGTGGGGTGCCTTCTTGAACATAAATCCTCTGGCATTGATGCCTAAACTTCAGCACCTAATTCTGTGTTTAGGCACCTTCACAACTGGCTTTTTATCTCCGAAAGTGAGTCTGCCTATTGCAAAGTCTAACTACTGATTTAGATTTCCTGTTTGAGACAGCAGGGCTTGGATATTTTTGCCTTGTGCCAAGAAATGAGAAAGTCAGAAGCATTTCCAGTTTTCTCCATGTCTCTTTCAGTTCTCAGGGTACTACTTCTATCCACTTACTGATGAGATTAGCGGTCCAATTTTGTACATTTTGTACTGTAATGTTGTGTTTATAATTTCAAAAAATGCAAGAGACTCATAGTGACTTTTTTGTAGATTTGTTCTCTAACAGCGGCTGAGCTCATTTGGAAGCACACTGCGTTCGAGAAGGAGCAGCGCTCTGTGTGTGAGCACTGAGTTTTCAGACAGCCTCTTAGCATCGGAGCTGCTGAGTGGATCTGTTTCAGCAAAGTGCCAGTGGAGAAAGGCTTATATTATTTAGGGACAAGTATCGCAGTTCCCAAACCAGGCTCCCTCTGTCCTGCTTGTGAACGCTAATGCATCTACCTAACAATTTTTCTAAAAGGAATAGGATTATTCCTAAAATAGACTTCTTTTATTAATCTTAATGTTTGATTGCTTTGTGTAAGTACTGTGTTAAAATTACACGAGTGGTCAAGCTTATTTAGAAAAGTGGGAAGAAGTTCAGCCAGAAACTGAGCAATTTTTACAGCAGTTCCTAAAAAGGACTGATAAAACCTGTTGTGATACTGACATCATACTTCTGGTGAAGATGCTGAGAGATGCTGCTGGCAGCTTTTTACTGTGTTAGGTGCTAAACTGTGAAAAGAAAGCAGGACACAAATTTAGGCAGATCGTAGTTTAAACACTCGCAAGCACACCTCAGCAGAGATAATGCGTTACTTTGAGTCAATATACAGGAGGAAGGGAGAAAAATGGCGCTCCATCAGGGGGAAACAAAGACAATCAGGGCTTTCTTCTGAAGCAGCTGCAGCCAGTTCCACTAATGGAAGTGCAGGAGCAGAAACTGGCAGCACAAGGTATGCGTTCGTTTTTACAGATGGCAATGCAGACAAGTTGGTAATTGAGAAGGAAGTCGTGTACGTGAGCTGTTTGACGGGGGACAGCCCATTACAGTACTTTCCTGTGTAATTGCCTCAGTGAGTTATTGGAGACAGAATTTCTGTTCCTCTTGAATAGGTTTCAGTTGCTGCAAAATGACATCATTATTGTGAGGGAAATGCATGTTTCAAGGTTGCTTTTTTGTTTTTAGCTATTAGTGTTAATAAAACTTTTAAAATTAATTTTCTTGTTGCCTCCGTGGAGGTCTGTCTTGTACTGCTGGTAGTCAGTGGCAAAATACAGCACAAGCAAGATCATAGTGTGGTAGATGCTGTTTAAGGCAGTGGAAGAGATTTAAAGATGATCACCTTGTGTGAGTTGAAGGATAAGACCTCAAAAATACAATTTATCTAGTAAAAGATGGTTGAAGAAAACCGCTTTCTAAAAAATCATTCTTTATGTAGTATGATTAAATAAATATTTAACTCTTTGCAAACCAGACTAACATATAGTTCCACCAGAAAATATTTCTTGGTGTTCATTACAAATGCCTCATACCATAAATATGTGCATGTGCATTTACTTAGTCTGTGTATATGTATTTGGCCCAACAGAAGAACACATATATCTTTAACACACATTGTTTAAAAATCAATTGCCACTAACTATGGCAAGGAAGTCTGACCTGCAGAAAAAGTTTTTATTGTTTCGTATTTGTGCCATTCCAGATCTTGAGAGGGAAAAAGTGAAATTATCTTCCATCCCTGTTTGGATTAACAAGAAGATACACTGTGGACTACATAATTTTCACCAATAAATGCTCAAATCAATGAGAATTGATAAGTAACTGTAAAGTATATTGTGATTATTTATGTGATTCCATAGTTGCACCCTTAACAGGTGATTGAAGCGATGGTAAAATCCTGCCTGTGGAGCTGAGGCTCTGGCTGAAGGTTGGTGTCAGAGCCAGGTTCCCTTCCAGCACAGTGGCAAGGGCTGGGTGAGCTGGAGCTTGGGGGAGGAGGTAAAGGTAAGAAGGTGACGGTGGTCAGGAGATCCAACAGCCAGTGAGTTAGTGGCTTCTTCACATAGCTATGTTTTTCTTAATTTAATCATTCATTTTGATCAGCCATTGTTCTCCTTTGGTAGCAGTCATGACATCCTGAACTAATTCTTACTAAACTCTTCTTAGTAAGAAACAGCGAGATTGTAGTTTGCTGCCTGTTTATTGGGGTGGAGTTGGGTTTTTTGTGAGTTGTGAGTGCTGCTGTCTCTAAAGTAGCTTTAGAAAATACAAGGAAATGCTACAAATACTGGGGCAAAATCTACTCATCTGCATTTTTGCTGCTGGTAAAAAATAATTGCAGTTTACATGCACATTAAAATATTTACTCTCCCTAGGGGATCAGGGGTAAGATTCTGAAAGGCTGTGCTAGCAGTAATGTTTAATGTACTGCCTGGGTTTTTTCTTTCTCTAAAACCCTCTGATTCCTCCCATTAAAAGTTTGTAATACAGCATATATCATAAAAAGATGCTGTCACAATAGACCATTAAAAATTCCACTAAACCTTTTATATGAATTAGGTGTGTAATTTTAACTTTCCTCTTGGCATTTTTACTTTCTTTCTACCTTGCCTTTCCTAACCTCTTTCTTACGCGTCTTTCAAATACAGCTCTTTAATGTAATTGTTCTTGAAAATGTCTTAGATGAAGAGTTTGCATTTGGCACATTAAAATTACTTCAAGAGGCATCTGTTAACTCAAAGTTAAGGTTGAAAACAATTTCTACTTTAACACTCTGCTTTGTGTGTTTCGCTTTTTCTGACAAGTTACGCTTTGGGGCCGAAAATTTGCTGTGCCTGCTCTATTCCTGAAAGCTGTCCAAGTTATAAAGGGAAGAAAACCCAATGACTTTCTTTTTAATTTAGACATAGCTACAGCGAAAGCAAGTAAAATTTTAAAATGTGAAACTTTACAGGGACATAGTTGTGGGTGTTTTCATAGTTGAGAGAGACAGCGGTTTTGATTAAACAAATTTAGAAAGGTCTGGGAGCCTCTGCAGCCAAAAGAAATGAGGGCTGAAAGATTCTTTTCTCATCCTGAACAGAAGAAAGTCGCACTTACTCCAACATCCAGATGCTGCCTTGCTGCCCAGGTTTTAAACTTCAATTAATCTGAGCCTCACCAAAACTCAAGAGAATGAAATACCTCCTCATATCAGGAGGAGAATACCTGGAAAGACCTAGCAGGTGTGAAACATAAAACTCCTGAATACTCACGGCAGTGCAAACACAACACACACAGATGTAACCACGAGTGCGTTATAGTGTTTTCTGAACCGTGAGGTGGCAGCCTGGTGATTACAGGTATGAGAGCAGCTGTTTTATGCTGATCCTCTCCTCAGCGGGTCATCCAGCTCCTACCAAACCGAGCGTGTGCAGGCTTCCTGGCACCTCCCTTTTGGACCTCCCGTGTTGCCAGAGAGCATCCAGAGCCAGTGTTTTACCTTTTTTTCAGTGAGGCTTGTGTGGCTGTAGTCCCTGACTTTGTCATTGGAAATAGGTCAGACATATGCTTTTTCCTGGGTAACATTTATGATTTCTCTTCACCTTGTGTTCTGGAGCCACGATTACAATGTGCTCCGTTTCTAACAGGGTGGGGAAGCCAGAGATGGTAAAAAAATCCACTCAGGCTTCATCGTATTGTTTTGTGATGGGGAAGTGAAAGTAACCAGCAAAAAGACAAGTTTGTCGTGTCCAAAACCAAGAGGGTGATTTAAGAAAAATGCTTGGCTGGCACTTGTGGAGCCTATTTGAGTTTCTAAAAGCATCTTCTGGCAGAAATTTTGAAAACAGGATGTATTTGGCACTAGCAGAGTGTCAGGCACCATAGATTAGTCTAGCTAGCTAAAAAGCCGCAGTTCTTGAGCAGCATTTTTGGCTGTGCTTTTAAAATGTATCTTTTGCTACATGAAGTTCCACTGAAATAATAACTGAAAGTTCAATGCATTTTTAAATTTCTTTTATATATAACTGTGTAGTGTAATGATGCTTCTACATGGCTACAAAGTTTGAAATCATGTAAACTGTAGCGTCATCTTTTTAAAAACTGAAGCAGTTTTTATGAAAAAGAAGGGCCTGATCCTGTCAAGATGCCCGAGTGAATTACTTGTTATGGTATTCTTTCTGCTTTGTTGCTTAGCAGAAAGCACTGCTGGTAATGTCCTCATTTCAGTGTAGTGTTGGTAACCAGTGACAATCATTTAAGGAGTTAAAACAAAATAGGCATTTGGGCTTGACGGTGTGTGTACCAAGTTTCAGACTTGTTCAATTTGAAACGGTCAAGATATGAAACCATAAAAAATGTGAGTAAATACTCTGCATATCAAGGGTTGTTATGCAATTACATGCGTTCAGCATGGTTCTTACTGAGGGAAAACAGTTAGCAGAGAGTTCTACAAGACATGTTCAGTGAATAATTACAAACTTCCATAGCTTAGCTACATAAAAATAATAATCCACTTGTTGCTTTGCTACTATTAAAATACTAAAATGTGTGCATACTTTTTTTTTCCCCAGAGCAAAGCCACTATGACTGTAGATTTGTTAGAAAGTTTTTCTGAAAAGCTTGAAATCCCCTCTGCCCGCACTTCTCCAGTTTTGGCCAATCTCCAAATTATAAACAGCTGAACTGGTTTAAATAAAGTTTTCAGTACCGAAAAAGAAGAGAAAAAAAAGGTTACATCTAGGCTGACAAAAACATGTGCCAAGTTTCAACCCAATGTGTTTTGAGACAACTGTGATATTAAATGCCCAGGCCTAGGAACTGGAATGGAAATAGAGACAGGCTCTTTGCTGCCCTGGCCCTTCAGGATTTGAAATTGTAATACAGTGGTTATAAGGCTCCAGATGATTAAAGCTTGACTTAGTAGATACATGTTTTAGTTATTTAGTCCTTTTTGGCTTATTCTTCCAAGGATGTACAGGAAATTTTCATGGATAACTCCAGTTAGTACTAGTGACATTGATTGCAGACGGAAACCTTTTTATCTGTGGCTCAAACCCTCCCATGACCAGTTGTGTCAACTTACGTTTTCTGGGCTGATCTTAAGAGGTTATTTAACTGTGATAAGTATGTGTTCACGTTTGAAAGAGAGCAAAAGGATCCATAAAATATTTCTTGAAAATGCTGGCTAGGGTGGTGCTTCGCAGAGCACTTGAGCACATGGCTGGGTTTTATGGAGGCTGTGGGCCATAGCTGCTGCGCAGACTTCGCTGTATTGGAGCTCAAGTGCCTGTTCCTTTGCGAGAGTACCCAGAAAATCAGCATTATCAGCCAGTATTTTTGAGTGGTACGAACACTGAGTATGCAAAGCCAAACAGGCTCATGCAGAAGAATTATCATCACTAACAGGAGAAGTATCATCACTAATTAACATCAGATAATTTCTGTTGGCCAATAACTTATCTAAAACTCGGTGTATGGGAAGTAAAGGTCTAGGGTTTTGTTCTTTTTTTTTTTTCCTTTTTCTTTTAGAAACTATTGGTTTAAAAGAAGAGAACTACAGGCATTGTAGGCTTTTAAAAACAGCACCTCTTTTTTCTCAGGTGTATTTTGACAAGCAGGTCTGTTCTGTGGTTAGTGGAATCTGGGAATCAAGAATATTTAGTCCAATTCTGCCACAGTCCTGTTTCACCCAAGGAAATCTATTCTAAAGCTGTGTGCCCCCACTATTAAAAGCTATTTCATAACCAAAAAGCTCAACAAAGTAACAGTATTTAAGTTCTTCCAGAGGTGGTTTAATTCTTAATTTATTAGTATATGTAATCTATGTTGGAACATTTAGGTAAGGGAATAATCATTGCTGATTATTGTGAAAGGTCCTTAAATAATACAGAAATAAGAGAAGTTTAAGAAAGATAAGACGCAATGCTTAGATTAGCATGTAAAATGAATTTACACGCTTTGTGTTAAATTTAGGTCAGGAAGTTTAGCTGTGTTACTTTGAAATTTTAGGCTGATAGTTTGTAAGTACTAATTAAGCACAGGTATATGTTTTTTATGTGTAGCTACTACTAGGTATTTTGTAGACTGTTGTCAGCTGTATTCATTGTATTATTTCATTGCAACTAATGTCCAGATTGAATCAGATTATTCTTTAACAAACAGAGAAAAAATGAGTTACTTTTGTCAGTGCTTCAAAGATATACTACTTCCATAGCACTTAATGAAGATTTCAGTGTTATTACGTGTTCTGTCGCCATTCAGGTGTGTACAAATGCAGCATATAAACTAGACTGCTCTCTTAATATTTTAGAAGTCTTTCATGACTTTGCAGAGGGCATTTCCCAAACTCCAGGAATACAAACAGAAGTGAAAGTGTGGAAAGACTGACTTGGATTAAGACTCTGCTTGGTTAATACAGCACACCAAGAAGCCATAGGCCAGCAGACACAAAGTAGGAATGGAAAGGAACAGTTCTGCAGTTGTATCTGAATTCTGGCCATATACAGTCATTTCCACTTGGAAACTTCTCGCCCTTCAAGTGGACCAAATTTGAGTTAGTTAAGTGAAGCTTTTATTGCACTCTTAAGGAAAATATGTCAGCAGCCAGGTGAAGTTGTACAAGAATATGCAACCACAAAAAGAACTGGGAGCTTCAATTTACTTGTACTCGAGTGCACCTTCCCAGAGTGAGCTGCATTCTCCTCTGCACAACTAGTCAGATGTTTGCTGAAGGACATCAACAACCATTTAGTTCTCCCCTTAGCCAAATTGAGAAAAATGTAGTGTATTACTGCCTCTGATTTAAGAGACAAAGTAGGGGATGATGTAAGGATCTGAGAGGGAGATTATCTTGATTACAATCTTGATTTTATTTTATCACTTTAAAGTAGCACAAACTGCTGTACTAGTGAAATTGTGTTCTTGGTTTAAAAGGGCAATTGTTAGCCTGACTTTGTGCTCACTAAAAACATTTTCCCAATCTTGTTAAATTATTGCACTCATTTCAGATTTTTATGGCTGTGCTGCTTACCAACCCTCGTTTCTTTACGTTTCATTCATTTTTCGTGTATCAATGATTAATGGAGGATGTCGAACGTTAGAGTGAGCAGGCATCAGCAAATGCAAGATCATAATTAGTTTAGCTGACGAGGGCCTCTGATAGCACTTGCATCTGGATGGAAAAATTACCCTATAGGGAACTGGCTGCTCACCAGGTCTTTTTAGTGATACATTGTGAAACACCCGATGAATCAAATGCCCTTTCAATGCCAAGAAAGTGTTCCAGTCTTGAAGCCAAAATTATGTCTGCAGAAAGCTTTCCATTTGAAATGTATCAGAGGACAATTATAACCATTGTATTTTTTTGGCATGAACACCAGTCTTCTACAGTATGGACTAAAGTTAAATAAATTACTTAAATTTTATGAAACCCTGAAATTTTTACTTATAGTGTTAGTAATTTTTAATTTATAATAAAAATAGTTTTCACCCAGGCTGTTTTTCCCTGTACTAACCCATACTTATCTTAGATACTGAAGGTTTCTTCCTGATTTTTTCCTTTGCAAAAAGGGAACGGAGTTGAAATTCGGGTTTTCTTTTCAGCAAAAGAGTTCAATTTCCTGCTTATTAATATTTGTGCCCACAAACACAGCCTGACTTTTGTTTAAATGAGAAGTTTAATGAAATCATTACTCCATAGAAAGAATTTAATGAGCAATATTCATAAACGTGTCTACTTTTAAATATTCCTGAATCATTATGAAAGCTGGTGAATGCACAGCTCAGCCTGGTTAAAAATCAATTTGTAGTTAGGGAAGTTGTACTGTGCCTTTCTTTGCTTGACTAAAATAAAATAAATAAATCTGTCCATCGATGAGACAGTGTTTCCTGGAGTTTCGGATGAAGTTCCGAATGAAGGTCTCATTAAGAACACTGTACTTTTATTTGTTTGGCAGAGGTTACTTCTCGTCCCACACTGGGCTGTGGGAAATATATGTTATCTTACACTGATTTTGGAAGAAAGTGGGAAAGACTGGAAGTGAATATCATGTGTGCAATTAATGAAATATAATTACTGTTAAAGGAATTAGTGTGATACAGATATAAACTGTAATTAACTGGTGATGTTTCAGAATTCTTGTTGCAAATCACACTTTAAAATCGAGAAAACTAGAAAGAAATAATCTGTTGTGAAGGGTGATGAACAAACAGGAGAAGTTTACAGAATGTCCTCTGTCAACTTCCAGAGGGGTTTTTCAGAATTTGCTGTTTAGAAACCATCATTAAATGCACAAAACCTGAAGTTCAAAAAGTTAAAGCTGTTATTCTGAGAAGGCTTTGGTGTTTCACACACCTCATCCATCACTCTAGGGTTAATTGTAATGAAAATCAGTGGTGCCTATTAAGCACAATTGAACCTGACCTCATTATGGGCAGTGTGGTTTTATACTGTCATTGTTGCCAGTCTAGAGACAAAACTCCTGTGTTGATTTGTCCTAACTCCGCAGCTCATGTGACTCACCTCTGACCTGGTTTTTTTTCTGTGTTTTGTTGTTTTTTTTTTCTTCCCTATTTCAGAGACGTAGAGGCTCGGGTGTTTTTTGTGCCAATTGCCTGACCACAAAGACCTCTCTCTGGAGAAAGAATGCAAATGGTGGATATGTATGCAATGCGTGTGGCCTCTACCAGAAGCTTCACTCGGTAGGAAGAACTTACTGGTTTGTTCAGAAAAAAAGGGGTTGTACAGCTAAGCTGGGCAGCTGTGGTCTTGTCTGGTTGTGTGATTAGTACCACTCCCTGGCCTGCAGTTAATTTCCTAACAGGATTTTGCAGTATGGTCACTTTGGGATCAGATGTGATTCATTATGAAACAGGCTGGGATGCTGTGGGTAGATGTGTTTGAGATCACCAGTGATGCATTTAATTATTTTGATACAAAATAAGGGAAAAATTATTTTTTTTCTGGGAATACCATTTAAAGGCATACAATAAGTTGTGATGAAAACTCTCTAAATTCAAGAGCCCTCCTGTTCATAATAATAATTTTAAAAGATTCTTTAAGTTGTACATCACAACTATATCAAAATTGTTCCATACTGTAGTTTTTGGTTTTTTTCACTTCTCTTCCCCACTTTATTCTTGACAGTAAATTTCCTGGAGATAGAGGGTGGTGGGGTTTTTTGTTCTTTTTTCTGCAGTTCTTATGGTCTGCTGGAAGATTAGGAAATAACTCAATAAGGAAGCTACTCACCTGATGGCACTCATCACTTGGTGAGGGGAAGATTAATCATCTCTCAGGATCAGGCAGAGAATAAGTAATAATCATGGACTGTCTATATTGCTTTTCAACTTATTGACACTTGGCTTGATCCTGAAAGATGTTAAATACTCTGGTCCAGGTCCAGGAAAGCCATGCTTAAGTGTTTCCTTGGATCAGTGCCAAAATGCTCTGAATCTTTTAGGTTAAGACCCACTAGTTAAATATTATCCCCGCTGCCTTTAATGGAAGCACAGGGGAGAGTCAGGTGACAAAGATACAACTCTAATTAATTAATTTTTACAACATGCCCAAAAGTTTAAAAGTGTTACTATTTTTTATAAATGGAAACCGAGGCAACCTTTGGGAGTTTGCCAAGGCAACATAATGATTGAGGCTTAGAGCCCAAATCAGAAATCTATGTTTTGACTGAGAGGCATATTTTCTATAACTTTTTTCAGAAATTCGATTTTTTTCTTAAAAAAAAGCTACTTAGAAAACTATATTTCAAATGCATTAAGACTCCTAAGTGCCTATGCCTATTTCTTTTTCAATTTGAGGCATAAGCTTATAAATCAGTTAGTAGTTTCTGTGAATTTTACCCTTGGCCTTGTGTGTACAGGTTGTAAAACAATCCTGTTTACTCAAGATCCTGTCCAGCCCACTTAATAAAAAAGAAAAATATTCCAGTTTTCAATAGCAGCAAGACCATCACTGGTCTGAAAGATCAGTTCTGCTTGCTGTGTGCTCTCAGAGGTCAATAGAGAGTTTTAAGCTCCAGAACAACCCAGACAGTTGGGCAGCATCTGAGCAGAAGACAGACTAATCCATAATCTCTGGCCAGCATCATGGTCGAGTTCTGCTGACAGTATCATCTTTCTGGAGATCTCTCAAAGTTCTAGATAAAATGTCTAATTCAAGGAAATTGATCAGTGATAAGCATCCACAAAGATTTTAAGGCAGATGGTTTGGCTTTTTAATGTTAATTTGACATTTGAGTCCAGTTGTTTGTAGAACTTCTGTTCGCCGCCCTCATTTTCCCTTTTATGGATATACTTTGCTAAACTTACTGTATAGATAAAAGCTGCCTGAATTAGTTTTGAATACAAACATGTAGCTCAGATAATTCTTACGAAGCAGTAGAAGCAAACTAGTGAGCTTCCAACAATCATAATTAGCAGTACAATGTCAAACTTTATTTTATGCATCTAGAAAGCAAAAAGCTGACACTATCTATTAGCTCCAATATTCAAGCATGGCAATTACCTGTCATTCAGTGGACATTTGACATTAATATCTTCAACTGAACTTTCACTAAACAAATGCAAAGAATTTAATTAAGCCTCCACTCTACTGTGGTATGCTGGCAACTCCATCGTAAGTTAGAGTCTGAAATAGTCAAACAAATCTCTCCTCTGGGACACCTTTTGAGACAGTCCCATGCAAAGGGATGCTCTTTAGACTGGCACCTTACTTTTATCTGACAGTTTCTTTTATCTGTCTGCATGTCTAGCTAGCTATCTCTTAATGAAAAATTACATTGTCATGGTGTTTGTCAGGTAGTTTTTGAATTAAGGAGTCTAGGATGATGCAGTTATTAGATAAAGATCTGAAACTATAAAAATTCAAGAGAACAGAACTGGTCCCTTCTGTGGGCCACCAGTTAAAATAAATTATGCTACACAGATTAATAAAATTCACCTATTGTAAGTCTGCACATTTCATACCTCCCTTCTGATTGGATTATGACTATATAGATCTACTGTCCTCATTACCTCAAGAATGTATAAAATACACTAATCTCTAAGGTCCCTTTTTAGTTATATGTAATAAGAAGAAAACTCTATGGTCTGTCAGATGCTACCAGGTGGTAGTGACTAACAAATGTTAACATGGTAGTGGTTTCTGCTATGAGTCACATTTCCATTTCTATGATACCCTTGAATAATGTTTCAACATATTTTCAAAAATATCCAGTCTATCTAGGGTCATTTACATGTAACTTTCCAGATTTTTCACATTTCTGTCCTCTAATGCAGAAAACTGTATTAAGACATGTGTAATAATATTCCAACAGTCAATTATTAAAATAGTTTTAGTGAAAAAAATGCTTCTGGTTCACTGCAAATGTATATACAATGTTCATGTTTTCTGACAGAAAAAGGTACATACCTTATCTCCCAAGAATCATGAATTTGGCCATTGTAGTGTTATTCCACATTTTTAATAGCTGTAACTTGATCATGGAAAAGTAGATTTTTTCCATAGTGATTCCTTGGCCACATCCTCAGATTCCTTTAATGAGGAGTTACAGGATATTATTCTAGGATTAGACATATGTGATCTTGTAGTGGAGGGATCACCCCAATTTCCCTTGGTATCTAGGAAGTGTAATTACAGTAATTTACTGAACTATTTGTTGAATTCTGTGGGGTTTTTTTGAAGTTACTCATATATTTGGGGTAGGGAGATTGCCAATTGATACCAAGATGACAAAAATAATCTTTGTGATTGCACTCAGTATGTTATGTATAACATATAATTAAGGATCTGACATAGGGCATTTTAAAAATAAGTTCTGGTCATGTCTCCACTAAATTTAGTGCTCCACTGAAAGTGAAGAAGAGACCTTAAACTTTTCTGCCTGCCCCAGTTGCAACCAAATAGTGTATTTCTATCTGCACCTTGTTAATATGAGTTAGAAAAATGTGAGTAGCTTTACTCGGCTGAGTTGCCTGTTTTAATCAGCTAAAGACTAGTCAGGTGAATACAATCATTTGCACGCTGAAGAATTTTTAGCTTGGACCTACAGCCTTTAAGTCCTAATGGCACATAATTTGGAAGAGCCTGAGCTACAAACAAGTGTGTCAGGGTCCTTAATCACAGGTGTGAAGATGTTTCTTTTAACTGCTTTCAAGACTTCATACCTGTAGCATGAAGAGTAAGACTGAAAGTATTGCCAAACTACTGAAGGGTTATCTGGAAGCCACATGGAAGTGCTCTCTACTGTATAAATAGAAGTTTAATAAGAGCAACATCAACAACATTGTAAGATCTCACATCATGTGAGTATGCCAGCGTTACAATTTTCATAAAAAGGGGAGGAAATTACACCAAGCTGGTAATAAAGAGAATATGTGTATGCATATTAATTGGCTATTGATTCTGCAGACTATAAGCTTTATTTACATAGAATTTATACAGAAAATACTCTAATTTTATCTAATCATGATTTTGCCTCAACTTTGCTCAGTTTGAGGAGTCTGGTTCAAGGAGCTTTTTTTCTGCTAAGTTTAAATTTTGCTTATTAAAAATCTAAATCAAAGTGTATATTACTTCTAATTTAGAGATGTAATAGAAAGTAAAATCTTAACAAGTAGCTGCATCTACCTAAAGCACTGCATTAAGAAAATAAAAGGGAAATAAAAAGGTGAAGGAGGAGAGGAAGATGGCAAGTCAAGAGAGAAACTAGATCTGTACAAATAGTAGAGTGAGTGTGTTTCCAGCTCTGAATATTTTTATATTATTCCAAAGCTATGAATATATATAAATTATGTTACATTCAAGGTACAAATTGTTTTGGGTATTGACTGTAGGCCAAAATTTAATTTGCACTTTAAAACAAAGTTAAAAAAGAAAATTTCCAAATAAACGTATAAGTGGAATACTGTATGGGGCACTTTTCTGGCCTCTAACCAAAATAGGATTATGTGTGCATTTGGATGAGACAAATGGCAACTGCCAGCACACCAAACTGAATGACTTTTAGGTAGTTTTTGTTGTTTTAACATCTGCCCAGTAGAGCAACACATACCAACACTACAGCACCATCTTTCATTCACATACCATGGGCTTCCTGTTGAGGGGCCTTTCGAAGAGGCCTGGTTGCTGTCCTTCCTCAAACTACTTTTTTTTTCTTCATGCAAATGTATTTTTGGTTTTCATCTAAATAGGCCATCTACCCTGACCTGGTGTAGTGCAGTAGCAAATGGAAACAGAAGTCCTCACTTGATTCTGGCCTCTGCCGCTTCTTCGATGCTTTTTTCCCACCTTCAGGGATGCCTTCTCTCCCTCATGATTGACTAGCACATTATCAGTTACATTTAGAAAGAAATACAGCAGGGATAAAGGAGGGGGAGTTGGTACCAAAGTCCCAGGTAGACCTTTTAGTGCTTAGGAAAACATTTTTCCTGGGCTTTCTTCTTCATCTTTCTTAGTTCCTTTCCAGCCACCATCATCCCACTCACCATCACAGTGAACCTGCTGCCCTTCTACTAGGTGATGACACTGGTGGTCAGCAAGCCATGTATTTGCTTGTGCTTTCTATCTGTGTCAAAGAAGGGGGTGGGTATCAAGGTAAGCATCACCCAGTTCTTGTCATAGTGTGATCTGTGTGAACGTCTGATCTGGTGACATAGTGGACAGGACCATGTGTCTTCCACCTCATCCCCAGCTCTCAGCACCCTCTTTCAGCATGTCTCCCCCAGGATATTTCGGGAGGAGGGGGTAATAAATGCTTTGACATCTTGGATACTTCATGGCCCAGTGAACAGGTATAGTATGTCTTAGGCAGTTGACTTAGTTTTGATAAAACAAACCAATTAATAGTTTACTTTTAACATGAGGGGCAAGGAAGCAGCGTTTCGGTTAAAATTTGGTCATTCCCATAAAATTGCAGAATCGCAGAATGGTTTGGGTTGGAAGGGATCTTCATAATATAGCTCTTCATGAAAGAAAAGATAAATTTGTGTGAGCATGGTTTCGCAGATTTGTTTAATGCCTCTTTCTTTTTTCCTTTTGTTCCTTATGTGTGTGTTCCATGCAGACTCCCAGGCCTTTAAACATCATTAAGCAGAACAATGGTGAGCAAATCATTAGGAGACGAACAAGAAAGCGCCTTAACCCAGAGGCACTTCAGGCTGAGCAGCTAAACAAACAGCAGAGGGGTAGCAGTGAGGAGCAAGTCAATGGAAGCCCCTTAGAGAGGAGGTCAGAGGATCATTTACCCGAAGGTCATCAGAGAGAAATTCAGCTTCCCAGCCTCAGTAAATATGAGGCCCCAGGTTCATTGACTAAAAGCCATTCTGCTCAGCAGCCAATATTGGTCAGCCAAACTCTGGATATTCACAAAAGGATGCAACCTTTGCACATTCAGATAAAAAGTCCTCAGGAAAGTACTGGAGACCCAGGAAACAGTTCATCGATATCAGAAGGGAAAGGAAGCTCAGAGAGAGGCAGCCCAATAGAGAAATATATGAGACCTGCGAAACACCCAAACTATTCGCCACCTGGAAGCCCGATTGAAAAATACCAGTACCCACTTTTTGGACTTCCGTTTGTACACAATGACTTTCAGAGTGAAGCTGACTGGCTGAGATTCTGGAGTAAATATAAGCTGTCTGTTCCTGGGAATCCACACTACTTGAGTCATGTGCCTGGCCTACCAAATCCTTGCCAAAACTATGTGCCTTATCCCACCTTTAATCTGCCTCCTCATTTTTCAGCTGTTGGATCAGACAATGACATTCCTCTAGATTTGGCGATAAAGCATTCCAGACCTGGGCCAACTGCAAATGGTGCCTCCAAGGAAAAGAGTAAGGCACCACCAAATGTAAAAAATGAAGGTCCCTTGAATGTAGTGAAAACAGAGAAAGTGGATAGAAGTACTCAAGATGAACTTTCTACCAAGTGTGTGCACTGTGGCATTGTCTTTCTGGATGAAGTGATGTATGCTTTGCATATGAGTTGCCATGGTGACAGTGGACCTTTCCAGTGCAGCATATGCCAGCATCTTTGCACGGACAAGTATGATTTCACAACTCACATCCAGAGGGGCTTACACAGGAACAATGCACAAGCTGAAAAGAATGGAAAACCTAAAGAGTAAACCTTAGCACTTAGCACAATTAAACAGAAATAGGTTTCCTTGATGGGAATTCAATAGCTTGTAATGTCTTGTGAAGACCTATAAAGCACTTCATATAGAGAGCATGCCTTATCCAATATTAAATCCCTTGTTCTTTTCTTTTTTTTTTCTTTTTCTTCTTTATTTTTTTCCTTTCTTCTGTTTTTCTGTTGGGTTTTTTTTCCCCTTTTAAATGAGTGGGTTACCAAGAAAAAAAGAACAGTTGGATGGTGGCCAGAATGGGGAGAAGATATGGGACATGGCCCACCAAAGCTAGCCAGAATGCAGTGAAACATGGCAAATAACCTTGAAAAAACTTTACCGGACAATTAATACCTTTGCCATTGTGTAAGAGACATAACTGGCAAGAATGCAAAGAAGTGTATATGTATATACTGCTGCAGGGGTATAGTGAACATATGCACATTGTATATAAGAACTAGACTTGTTAAATATACAGATGTTAAAAGATCATTTTCTTTTCTTTAATTTGGGCTAATTTCTGCCCTACAACATGCCTTAGGATCACTTTGTCCTCAAAGCTTTGGCAGCGATTTCATCTAGGCATTTCTCAGACTCAGCTGATTTTTAGCTACCATTATCACTACATTCTTTCTGACACACGTTAGTGTAGGAAAACCATTTTGTGCAAGTGAAGTCTCTAATACAGAAGCCACACTCGAGGTGTAATTTGCATAGAACAAGGTAACCTGCTGTATTTTATTTTAATATATTTTTAATATATTACCTTTCTAAACCTTAAAGTCTAAGGTTACTTCTCCACAGGCTTAACATTACTATACATACCAGTCAATCCCTTCAGTAGACTTATACCAGCTTTTGCTAAGTAGCATTAAATGTCTTCATAGTACTTTTTAATACTTAAAGCTTTGTAAAAACTATCCATGAAGGGAAAGCTCCTCAGCATAACTGCTCAGGGAAATAGGGCTAAATAACTAAATATTAAATAATTGGTTAAAGGTGCTGTTAGACGAGCCTCCATGCTTGCTACAAGGGTGTACAAGAACTGACTTTAATCATTTTCATTATAGCGTCCCAACCAGTAGTTTATTATTTTGCCACAGGGATGTAGAAGATATTACAAGCTACTGGATGCACTGTCAGATTAACTTATTTCATTAAAGAAGTTGGGAGGACAAATAGAAAAAACCTTATTTTTCTAGTAAATATTAATGTATTACATTTCAAATAATGGTGCCTGACATATTGAATAATTATTTTCTACAGTGTACGTATGCAACAAAGATATTCCATCATGCATTAGAGTCAGTTCTGGCTCTGCCTCGCTGTTTACATTTGCAAATGTAGCAAACAAGGTAATGAAGCAACTATTTCTATTGCAGTAGGTATCTTTTTTTCTGTGTGTGTGCATTAAAGTTGTAAACGATAACATGAAATGAATGAAATTTGTTGATATTAATGGTATGGAGAAACACGAAGGAAATGAAAATATTTTTATGCCTACTTAGGAAAAAAAGGGTAGCACTATTCATTCCAAGTACTTTTGTATTCTTAAGCTCTTAACTCACATTGTTATGCTTAAAATGATAAACATATATCCTCTTTTTATTGCTTTGTGTTTCAGAAGAAACATTTCAGAAATTATTTTGATAAGTGCTGTTTGACGATGCAGCATTGATGTTTTATTGCATTCTGTAGTAGCATTGCACTCCATTTTTACAATATTACGCAGTTGCTTTTTGTTTTGTTTGGGTTTGTTTCTTTTTCGCAGTGCAGGGTCTTAGTTCCTTATGGTTGGATGGCAGGTGTAGCTCAGCTGGTTCATGAATGTTACAGCGAATGAAGTTTAAAATGTCTTTCTGATATTATGTTGTCTTTTATTTCTCCATTCGTGCATTTTATTTTTTAAAATGTTCTATAAAAAATATCTCTGGACTAAGTCCTCACTTGAGATTATATGTAAAGGGTCCTATTCTGATCTCACTTACGTGCCGCCTTTCTCAGATTTTCATGTAATTGAAACTAAAGCATGATAAAAAAAAAATGTTCTTGTATTTAACTTACCTGACTCTCACCACTCTCCCTTCTTGAATTTGGTGCACTTGTAAGATACTTAACCAGTTAGATAGGGAGGTGGAAGATAAAAAGAGAGATGATAGAAGATGTCTTACAGGGGTTGGTAAAAGGAAACCTAGGGAGGAACAGGCCTAAACGTTCAGCACTTTGATAGTCTTTTGAAAAGTAATGTGCCTAAAGCATCTGGCAACGAACATCACCACGCATGAGAAGCACTTACACAGCTGATCACCAAAGGTCTTGCTGACCTTGGCAGTATTTTAGGTGTTATATTTTCACACAGATGAAACATTATTGCGCAGTTTCTCTGATTCCTTAGGCACAGACGGGCTATTGTCCAGCATAAGGCTTGCATTCCTTCCTGCTCCACCCATTGCTTCTGTACTGGTGAGCAGCATATGGAGAGTCCTACTCAATCTGTCCATGGTTGAGGTCTATAACCCTTCAATAGTGTTCTAGGTTAGCAAAGGATATTGGGCCACATTCTTCTTCTATTTTTAGATGAATCTCCTGCTTGATACCAGTGCCGGACAAAGTCTGGTTATGTTTTTACTATTGTTCTCCAATAATAAGTTCTGACTTGGTTTTTGTGAATTTATTTTTGTTGGGTATTTTTTTGCTTCTTTTATTTTCTGTGAGGACTGAAGTAGATTGCCCTCATTTTGTTACGTCAGGGTCCAGTGTGTGTCCTTTTTAGCTTTTCCAAGAAATATGTTAGACTCACTAAACAGTGATTTTTATTGGCTTCAGAGGTAGCTGCCTGCCGGTTATCGGTAGTTACTGGTTTAACTTACTTCTAAGACCTGCCAGTTCCTGTAGCTTCCTCATTGATGGAAGCTGCGTCTTCATGGCAAAATACTTTATGGAGGACATGTGCATTATAAGACTTGAGCACCACTCTGTACTTCATAACACCTCTTGCTAAACTGAGAAGCAGAGGCCAATAACAAGAAATACATATATCAGGGTTTGGGGATGAGGAGAAATGAAATCTAATGAGTGCAAAGAACAAGACAGGTTTTTGAGTATTATTATTGCACACCTAGATGGTACAAATAAAATTTGAAAAAATATCATTGTTCTTGCCATGACATATTGAGATGTTCTAAGATTTCTGCTTTGTAAGAAATGAGATTTTGCCATAGCCTGTTCTCTTTGATTGGGATGGGGGGAGCACAGTTTTGTTTCATAACAGAGAGGGTGACTCCATCCCTCTTCCAGACCCCCTCATAATGGATATCAATAAAAAGAAATATAAATCCTGACTTAAAAAAGGACTCTCAGGTAGAAACCAATATTAGCACAGACAAGTAACTGCTGCACCAACTGCATTTCGATCAACTTACAGCACTAAAAATGAAACTTTAAAAAAATCATTTGTTCACAACGTGTCAGTGTCTTCAAGGTGGTGTACTTCTCCTACTAAGAAATGTAGTTTGAGATCTTAAATTGTATCTCACATTGGACCACAAAATAAGCAGATGGTTCAAAACCAGAGGATTTGTGGTGCCTTTTATTAACCAGATTGCAGAGCAGGAACAGTGTTTCCACTAACACTCTGTATAGTGGGAGCCCTCATGCAGCATCTTCTGTAAACTGAACTGTCTCTAAGCTATCACTTCGTGGCTGCTGCCCCCTAGGTTAATGCAGCGGGAGACAAAGATTTTACAGGGCACAATTTGCATTCAGGTGCTAAACTCAGTTTGCAAAAGAAGTTTTGAACCTGATTGCCTGTGTGCTGATGAAACTCCCTCCTTAATTTTTCGTGGACCATCCAGAAAGTGGAGGAGGAACACTGGATGCCTGTGTCTAGATTTTGCCTAAAAAATGTACTGTGGCACATTGTGACAGATATAAAGAGAAAGAACATAGATACATCTCAAAAAGTTGAAGCACGCTATGGGTGAGAGATTATTTTTGCAGTTAGATGGGCAGCAGGACAAAAGTGACTGATGATAATTGTATACAGTGCTGAAACATAGTGGTTGTGCAATGAGGAGAACTGTTGTGGCAGCCATGGATTAGTACTCAGTTCAAGGATGGACTTTCAGGTCCATCTTTGGATGGGATAGTGTTGCTTTGTAGTCATAACTACTTGCTTTATGTGCTAAAGATGTTGTGTACCATCTGCCTTTTGCCCAGGATGTCTAAATATATTCCCGTTCTTGCTCCTGTATTGATTTTTCTTGGCTGACTTAACATGTTATTTTCTAATACTGGTCAGGAAAAGCCAAAGAGATTAGAAGTTCACTTCTGTTCAGCCAGAAGGGTAGATATATTTCCTTCTGCTTCTGTGGAGACAGTTATGCTTGGCAAAGAATAACAAGCAATTTGTCAGTGTATCTCAAATGTGATAGATAAGTCAGAAATCCCTTCTAAATTTTCTATGAAGTTAAGATAGGCCAAGTAGAATGATTTACATAATGTCCTCACCCCAGAATAGGATTCCTTCCTACCCTCTTCCTCACAATTTCATTTCATTCAGCCAGCTCTGGAAAGCTGGCAGTTGGTGAGATGCTACCTATATAGTAATCATATAACCCAAATTTACCTCTTTTTAGGAGTGTAAAAGACAATTATTTAATGGCTGCCAGCCAAATACCAGTTTCATTTGTTATTTTGAGTACACTTAGTAAAGTAAAAACCATAGAATAAACATTGTTACAGCAACCACAGTTTTCCATTCCTATCATTTTGGCCTCTGAGCTTTATGTAGAAGAAGAACAGGAGAAAAGGAAACATCTCAAAATGCCATTGTAAATTTATCTTATAGAAAATCCACCAGCAGGAAAAGAAAAAAGAAAGTACTTAATAAAGAATGACTTCATGTTGCTAAAAACCATCATCAAACTTGTAGCCCTGATTTGACTCTAGAATGTTGGCTCTTAATGTTTTCTCCTTACAACACATGGATGTGTTTTTTTGTTTTGTTTTGTTTTGGATTTTTTGTTTTGTTTTGTTTTTTGGTTTTCATAGTGCATGTTCATTTCTACTCACAAACATGTTCTTGGTGTATTTCTTATGCAAACAATCTTCAGGCAGCAAAGATGTCTGTTACATCTAAACTTGAATAATAAAGTTTTACCACCAGTTATAAATCAGATTCATGTCATTGTTTCTGGGGTGAATGTAATGTCATAGTGTCACTACA